CGCTGTGTGTTGCTATTGTGCAGTGACTTGGATGACATTTCTGACTGCTTGCCCCCACTGCATGGTTTCAGCATGATGTATTTTCACAGTGGCTTCAAGGCCTACAGAAGACTAGTTTATACTTGGTTTGGTACTCTTTTAATACTCGTCTTCCTTGCACAAACATTATACTGCTAATTGCGTCTTTGCTGGCTGCCATTTGTCAGCTTGGAAATCACAGAATCCCTTTCGGTTATATAGAATTAAAACTATTGATAGTAAATAACTATATAATTAAAAGTGCTCTTTCCACTTCAGAGTGAACTACCAACGTGGCTTAGCAGGCATGGTGGTGAAGGGCTTATGGCTGCACTTGATGTTCTTGAAGATCTTTTCCAACCCTAATGATTCTGTGATTCGGCGAAGGTTTCTGATATCTTTTTGATCTGCTTGAGTGAGGAACAAGCAAGCTGGTGGGGGAAGCTCTAAGTGCTGGTGGAGCAAAGTTTTCATTAGGTCTCTGTAAGCAGCGTATTTTGAGGGCCTGATATTTACATCAACATATACCAGCAGGATTTCTGAACTGCAAAAGAGTCTTCAATGCTACGAATAAAAACTTAATTGTAGTCTAGCTAATCTTTTAAGTCATTAATACACGGGAAGTGCATCTGCCTAAACTAAAATAATAGACACAGAAATGCAAAGATTAGAGGCTATTGTAGTTAAAAAGTTGTTGCAGAATCCAGTCTTTTCACTATTACAGTGGAATAACAGTCTCAGCTGTGAATATTTTTCAGGCCATTCTTTATCCGTGGTTGTAGAGGTTGTGATAAAAATGGAAACATGGCAACCTTTTTGGTGAGCAGATAAATTCCACAGGCAAGGGCTTGGCGACGGCTCGAGAGCTGTGATCCTGCCGCCCCGGTTGGTGCTCATGCTGGTGCTGGCCTGGTTTGTGCTCCTGCTGCAGCTTGTCCTTGTTCCGGAGTGCAGGGGCCTCGTGCTGTACGTACTGCCTCTGGAGTTGCCTCCAAGTGTAATTCCCAGAAACACCAGACATGCCACAGACAGGTTCATTATTTTTAGCATTCCCTACAAGCTGCTATCCTTTGGAACACTTTGTATTATTTATTAGATGGTGACTATTCTGGGCTGTATGCGAGATCGAGAAAACACAGCATATGATTCATTTTGCTTACGTTATATAGAAGCCAGTTGTCTAGTC